AAAAAAAAAAAAAAAAAGAAGTTCGAATAGAATTAGAATAAAGAATGAAAGTGTTAGAGGGTCAAGTGTTTTTTGTTTTCTTTTTTGTTTTTAAATAAAAAAGAAAAGTAGATTAAATAGAATTAGAATAGAGAGTGCTAGAGTTAGAGTTTCAAATGAAGATTGAAACACATCTCGTGTTTTAGTGTGTGTGTGTGTGTGTGTGTGTGTGTGTGTGTTTTTAAGAAGATATTTATTTAAAAAAGATTGAGCCAGTGACACCATTTAAATTTATCCGGTCTACTGTCCCCATTAGAAAATGCTTAATAGCATTGAGAATAAATCTTTTTGTTTACAGTTCTGTATTTGTAGCATCAGTAAGCACGTCTTGCACAGTACTATTCATAAAATTTCTCCTACATCCTGTTAGTTTCAGCACAGAAAGCGCAGCTGTTAAACGTCTAATAGATGTGACATCACGTGCCGCACAGCAGACCCCTCCCCTCTGCAGCATGCGCTTGAATGAAAGCAGTGTGTTTCTCTTTAAATGCGGAGCTCCGTCCCATTGCCTCGTCACTTTGTGTTGCCATGGTGCTCTCCCCTGCACTGCGCAGGGTCTGCTGTCATGGCGACCGGCTGAGTGACAGCTGGGCCCTGGAGCTTAAGCCTGCTTAAGAGGCTGTGCTGCCGCGCAGCTTTACGCTGTCTGGGTGTTAGTGTCTTTCGGGCGTCCTTACGCCTGTCTGCATACGCAGATTTAGTCCACAAGCTTTAGGAAAGATCTCCACCTGCTGCTAAACGAGAAACGCCACGTACAGAAAATAAATGTTACGTTGTTTATCTCTGGTTGGTCTACGCATCGCCAGATCTCATCTGAGCGTCTCCTACGTGGATTTTTGCTTGTTCCTGACATTACTCCTCAGTCAGGGTCAGCCCACCCCGGGCCTGCGGCAGAGGTTGTCATGGTTACCAGGCATTGTGCATCACCGTGATGTCAACAGACAGTCCGTTAAAATGCCATTGGACCCGAAACGGCTTCTCTAATCCCTCTAAACCTCATCTAGCCGTAGATGGACACTGCTTTGTGCTTTGAGTGATTTCATGTCTATGCATGTAATGCAACTCTTTCTGTGCCCTATCTGTCGCCCCACTCTCTCAACAGGTGTGTATGTGTGTGTGTGAATTGTCTGTTCCATATTAAGCTGTCTCTGGGAGTGGTGGGCTATGATTAGCACATGCATACCCGTTACATTTAATTGGAGCTTCAATTACATCACCACACACGCTGTCCTCTGTCTCTTCCATCTCTCATGTGTTTTCTCTCTGTGATCAGTGTTTTGTTTTTTTGGTGTGCTGCGATGTTATTTCCATATTAAGGTTGTTATTTAATTATGGCATTTAACCGCAAAACATTCATTCCGATTAATAATTCCAATTCCACAATTCCAGTTATTTCACAATTCTGACGCACCACACTCCTGACCATCCAGTAATTGGTCCTGTTTATGTCTTTTTATTTTTTGTATATAAACAAAAGCATATATTAAAATTAAACATGTTATATTCTATGTAAAAATTTATTAAGTTGTCATTTAAAATCCGAACATCATTGGTAATGTTATTGTTTTAGTGATTATGCAAACAAAAAGTAATTTTATTTGTTGTTTGTTGATTTTTAAATATAAAACTTGAAGTGATTTGTGTCTGTACTTTTTTAACATCTCCAGCACATTTTAACAAAACCGTGATAATACCGATAACCGGGATAATTTTGGTCACTATAACCGTGATAAGAAATTTTCATACCGTTACATCCCTAAGACTGACATCCTGAAGTAAACTTTGAATCGCTCGGGATAATCCCGCAGCTCCTTGATAAAGGGGTGGAACTCTCCTTCCTCTCTATGCAATCTCAGGATTGGATGGACCCAATATTTCCTTTCTTTTTCTCTTTTTAAGAAGAGAGAGGACAACAAAATCATCCTCACTGTTTGAAGACTCCATTTTGTATTGTTTTGCGAATTTTTTTCATAACGGATTAATATGCATCGGACTCAGTGTGCAAGGTTTCTGTGCGTTTTTTTTATGATGACGAATACGAAAAAAAAAAAACGCATATTAAAATTTCGGATGGTTACATTTAACCGCAAAACATTCATTCCGATTAATAATTCCAATTCCACAATTCCAGTTATTTCACAATTCTGACGCACCACACTCCTGACCATCCAGTAATTGGTCCTGTTTATGTCTTTTTATTTTTTGTATATAAACAAAAGCATATATTAAAATTAAACATGTTATATTCTATGTAAAAATTTATTAAATATATAAATAATACATAATATATCATATATATGGTTAATATGTATCTTTTTTTTAATTACACAATGTCAACAGTCGGTAATTACATTGTTTAAAATTTTACAAGCCTTAAGGTCCTTGCACACTGAGCCCGAAATTCTTGCCCGAAATTTTCGCACATTAAAAAATAAATACGACCTCACGTTGTGTCAATCACGTTTACACACTGCCTCCGAAACGTTCGTCTGTCATAAATTCAGATTGGGTTAAATTTTTTGCATTTTTCGCATCCGTAGCAAGCATTTTGAACAACTCGCGATGAATAAATACTGTCCAACATAAAGCACAGTTTTAAGTAACAGTGTCACGTGCGCACAGCACGCAGAGTAGTTTCGTTTTGAGTGAAAACAGGGCGGAAAAGCTGGCAGGGTTTAAAAGAGTGCTAAGGGAATTATACAAATGAATATATGAATGAATTAATTATATGAATGTACCTCTGAAGGTTCTGACTGTCTTCAGAAACGATTCGATGGCATTTTGTTTTCATCTTCGCTCTGTACTTTTTTAACATCTCCAGCACATTTTAACAAAACCGTGATAATACCGATAACCGGGATAATTTTGGTCACTATAACCGTGATAAGAAATTTTCATACCGTTACATCCCTAAGACTGAAATCCTGAAGTAAACTTTGAATCGCTCGGGATAATCCCGCAGCTCCTTGATAAAGGGGTGGAACTCTCCTTCCTCTCTATGCAATCTCAGGATTGGATGGACCCAATATTTCCTTTCTTTTTCTCTTTTTAAGAAGAGAGAGGACAACAAAATCATCCTCACTGTTTGAAGACTCCATTTTGTATTGTTTTGCGAATTTTTTTCATAACGGATTAATATGCATCGGACTCAGTGTGCAAGGTTTCTGTGCGTTTTTTTTATGATGACGAATACGAAAAAAAAAAAACGCATATTAAAATTTCGGATGGTTACTCTTTATTTTAAGGTGTCTTTGTTACAGTGTAATTATACATTTAAGTACTGAGTAATATTGATTAACTATATGTACTTATTATATGGTTTGGGTTAGGGTTACTTGCATGCAATTATGCATAATTAATTGTTATTATAATAGTAAGTACATGTAACGTGTAACAAGGACACCTTAAAATAAAGTATTTCCTTTCGGACTTGGTGTGCAAGGACCTTTACACTGTCCTAACCAGCCTCAACAGTGATATATGACAAGCATTTTTGTACAATATTAATTTGGGTTTAAATATATTGTTTGCGTGACTTAATGGCCATAATGAAAGCGACAATGGATAATTTCCCTCAGATCTTGAAAATGAACTAAAGGAAAAAGAACTGGTCAAACTGTGAACTTTTTGGTGAGTGTATTCCAAGACAAAGATTCTATCAGTCATTGAGTATGTATTTTAAATAATGTTAAAATTGTTTAATTTCTATTTACTAGAATATATAACCAACTGTTTCAATGCAAGTATGAGACCGTAGTGAGCTTGCAGAGAGAGGCCTCGCTTGCTCTTCCAATTGGCTGTGATTTGTGATTGATTTTGTTGTGTCTTGTAGAATTGTCATGTCAAGTGTGTGGACAAAAAATCTTATCACATTGGGACTGGTTAGGACCAGGTGTTAAAGCTAAAGTGTGTAATTTGTGCACTGATTCGTCACCAAACAATATTTTGAGAAGAGGAGAAAGTTATAACACAGGACAGTAACAGTTCGAGGTTCATTTCAAGTTACGCACAGAGTAATGCAAATGTTTGCGAACCATTAACAAAACAAAATGTCATAATTCTTTTATGTGATCAAAATAATGTTGCGTTTTAATACTGCGTTTATGGGTAATCCTTTTTTTTTGTTTTTTCAATCTGTCAAACCCCTCTCTGCATTTGCACCTACTCAAACACTTTCTCTCGGTCTCCTTTTGACTCGCTGCCTATTTAAAGTCCTCCTCCTAACCTTGCTGAGAGAGGCAACTGTTTTTTCGTAAAGACACTGTAGTTTATTGTCACTGATGCTCAGGAAATCCCCCGGCTTGTCACCTGTCCCGCGTTGATAATCTTATCGCTAAAACCACACCGCAACGTAAAAGCATCAATAAAACCTGCTAATCATTTATCGCCTGCCTGGAAGGGCCATTTCTTCATAAGAGCTCTTGTTCTCATTTGACTTGTGTGTGTGTGTGTGTGTGTGTGTGTGTGTGCACACACTAAAGTCCTCCTCCTAACCTTGCTGAGAGAGGCAACTGTTTTTTCGTAAAGACACTGTAGTTTATTGTCACTGATGCTCAGGAAATCCCCCGGCTTGTCACCTGTCCCGCGTTGATAATCTTATCGCTAAAACCACACCGCAACGTAAAAGCATCAATAAAACCTGCTAATCATTTATCGCCTGCCTGGAAGGGCCATTTCTTCATAAGAGCTTTTGTTCTCATTTGACTTGTGTGTGTGTGTGTGTGTGTGTGTGTGTGTGCACACACACTTTCTCTCAAGGGTCCGCCCCTCAGCAGTTCACACACTTTCACTTTGACAGTTGGGCTGCAAAGTGCCAACTGAATCAGGAAGTGTGAACGTGAGGTAGGGACAGACAGCACGAGGTGAATGTGACGAGAAGGCCAGCAGGTACAGATTTTCTCTTCGCTTGCAGTAAGACATGATTAAGAGGAAAGTGGGAATACAGCAAAAACAGGGGGAAAAAACAAATACGGAGCGGTTTGTCGTGCTGCTTGTGCTGTTTACGCTGCAGACACTTTGATTTATGGTAAGTTTAGAACCATTTTTATAGATAATACTGTTTTTTTTAAGGACTACGGTATATTTTGAAGTATATATGTGGTTGTTTTTGTGTCGTCTCACGTGTTGAAAACAGCAGTTGCTTTCTTCATATGCACGAGTGTAGTAGTAATATGCAAACTACCCTGTAACTGTTGTTTATGTGTGCATTGGTGTTAGGTTAAGCGTGTAATCTGTTTCTGTACTAGCATCAGAGTGGCTGCGTGACCTTGACACAGTTTTTGTGTGCAAAAAATTACTGTTATGTTTATATATATGATTATAAATCTGCCTGGAATGGTCCATCTTACTCCGTGTCCTTTCTGCCAACGAAACTTGGCATTAAGTGCTCTTTTGCAGCCAATTTTATACGCAAAAAACTCCTGCCATTTCTGGTTTTACTCTAAATCTTCTTCCATTCATTTCCTTCGCTTCTAATAACACGTGGAAGCGAGGGCTCTTTCGTTGGGCATGTTTGTGTGGTCCAGATAGGGTTTGTGACAGACTTCATTGTGAGATTACAGAGAAGTGTGATCCTGTTATTTTACTTTCTACAAGCCGTGTCCCGCCAGCTGAGGGCATGACAGGACACACACACACGTGTGTATAGATAGCAAGTCACTACTAAGGTCTGTCGTGTTCTGTGTCATGCTAAAATATGCAATGACTGGTGCAAACACAACCGTTGGTTCGTTGGTGAATAAACTAAACTTTACCCAGCAAGCTTTGTTAATCTTTGATCTTCCTTTCCCTATTGTTTCACTGCTGTCAAACCTGTTTCGTTTTTTTTTGTATGCTTAAAAAACACGCCTTGTCAGACTTGTTCCTCATTCTGGCCTCTCTCTCTCTCTCTCTCTCTCTCTCTTTTTTTCCCTGTGTGTTTGTGTGTATGGAGTAGACCAGAATCTGTGGAGGCGAGCTCTGTGGTAGTTGAGAAGTCCAGCTACCCTCACCAGATTTACAGCAGCGGCTCCCACCACTCCCACGGCTACATCGGTCTGCCTTACGCCGTGAGTATCGTCCCCCAGCAAAACACGCCACACTCCTTCCTGCAATTACATTGTTGACCTGCTTATCTGCATTCTGTGTTATCTGATCATGCTTTCGCGTCACGACTTTCTAATGGTTCCTCCTCCAGGACCACAATTATGGGGCGCGACCCCCACCCACCCCGCCGGCGTCCCCGCCTCCCTCGGTGCTGATCCGGCCGGGTGAGGGTTTGTTTGTGTCCGGGGGCCGGCCAGGCGAGAACTTGTTCGTGCCGGGCGGGCAGGACGAGGCGTCGCGTGGCACCACGCTCAGCACCTCGGAAGACGGCAGCTACGGTGCTGACATCACACGCTGCATTTGCGGCTTCACCCATGACGATGGCTACATGATCTGCTGCGACAAGTGCAGGTGGGGACCACACACTTCGACATGTTCAAACTATGTCTACATGTGTAATTACAGCATTCATGGCGGTTTATGACAGTTACATCTGTCATAAGCGGTTTAAAATGCTTTATATATCTGGAGCTTATTAGTTCTTGAGATGAGGCCTGGTTTAAAGGTATAGTTCAACCAAAAATGAAAATTCTATCATTAATTGCTCACCCTCGTGTCGTTCCAAACCCGTAAGACATTCGTTCATCTTCGGAACACAAATTAAGAGAGCTTTCTGACATGCATAGACAGCAACACAACTGCAATGTACTTTTTAAAAGAAAACAAAAATAACATAATTTATTTACCGTCTTTCGCCATTTTGGAGAGTACCACGATGCATGCGCGTGCTTTCCCCAGAACGTAATCAGTGTTGTTTACGTTCAGGAGAAAGCGCGCACATGCTGTACGTAAACAACGCTGATTACTTTCTGTGCAGGGTCAAGAGAGCTCTCAGATTTCATCAAAAATATCTTTATTTGTGTTCTGAAGATGAACAAAGGTCTTACGGGTTTGGAATGACATGGAGGTGAGGAATTATTGACAGAATTTTAATTTTTGGTTGAACTAACCCTTTAAAGAATCATGTGTAGTACAACCGGTGGGTCCTAGACAGAGTCAGACATTAAGATGGCAAAGATGCCACTAAGAGTGACAAAGGTGTCACAGGTGTGTGTAATTAAGTGTTTTAATGTAATATTTGATATAAAAAAAAATATTTTCTAGGTATTAAAGATAGTGGTTGACCGATATATCGCCAAGGCCGATATATCGGCCGATATTTGGCATTTTTCAAATATCGGCATCTGCCGATAAGTTTTTCTGTTTGGCCGATGTGTTCGTAGCGGGACGGACATTTTATTTTACACATTTATTTTTTAATCCATTTTCAAATTATTTCAAATTTCTTAAATATTAAATAAAATTATATTGGCCACCCTGCTTTCCAAGATATCGGCATCGGCTGTCAAAAAAACTATATCGACCACTAATTAGAGACCTGTATCTGTCAAAAATTGTCTAAAAGGGCATAGATGCCCCAGATATGCTCTCAGATGTAGGGTAAAAATGTCCGTGTTATACTTATATGGCGCAAGGACACTTTAAATTCAACAAAAGTGATAAAGATATTTATAATGCTACACAACATTTCTAATTTCAAGGAAATGCTATTATTTCTATTTATCTAACAGTCTTTGAAAAAATTTATCACTGTTTTGACCAAAATATTAAGAAATATTTCTTAAGCACCAAATCAGCATTAGAATGATTTCTGAAGAATAGTAATGAGTACGGATGCTGAAAACTTAGCTTTGGATTACAGGAATAAATTACATTTTAAAATGTATTAAGAGAGAAAACAGTTCTTTTAAATTATAATAAAATGTGAAAAATATAAAATTTTTACTGTATTCTTGATAAAGAAAAATATTCAAAAACATTAAAAAATTTATTAAAAATCTTACCAGTCCCAAACTTTTGAACAGTAGTAGTGTATGTACTATTAAAATATAAATTTTTGCAAAATATTATGTTTTATATTTTGTACAATTCTTTTCTTGATAGTTCAGAGCTATGTAATTTAACATAATGACCAGCCCTTATTTTAAATGCATTTCAAAAAAAATAAAAGTTTTACATTTTGTTCATTATTTCCAGCTACTTTGTATATTGATGTTGATTTTATTTTATGGCTAATAAAAATTGTTCAGAAATGTCATGTTAATTAAGTCAAGTTTTCAATGTAATTGGATGTACTTTTACAAAGAAAAAAATTCAAGCTCAAGTATTTTTTTAAGAACAATGTTTATTTTGGTTGTAGCTTTATCTGTTAAAATACTACAGATAATTTTTTTTCCAGCATTACCCGTTTTTTGTTCTCTAAACAGTGGCATTAATGTTTGCTGGGATAGGATCCCATTCTTTGTTTATGAGATTAGCACTGCCGACAAGACATGTAACAGTGCTGGGAATTCAGAGTGTAGATGAAAACTTACAGTTGATTGAATGTTTAAATAGTAGGATCTGTCAGTCCCTTTGTTCACAGCCAAATAATACAGAAGAATCAAAATAATTGAAGCCATTTCTCCTCATTCATAACTCTCTTTGTGTATTAGTGTGTGGCAGCACATAGACTGCATGGGGATCGACCGGCAGCACATTCCCGAGACCTACCTGTGTGAACGCTGTCAGCCACGCACCCTGGACCGAGAGCACGCCATCCTGCTGCAAACCAGGAAGAGAGAGAACATGTCTGGTGAGTTTTTTTTTTTTCATGCATACACACAAACAAACACACCTATAGACATGTTCAACCTCTCCCAAAGCAGCAATGCCACTGCTGCTTTTTCCCACAGTTCAGCTGCAGATGAGCATCTTTAGAGTCTGAAGACTTTACACAATACAGGATCATGAGCTTTTGTATAATGTGAAATGTATTCCTGACCTTCCTGTAATCTATGCTGGCAATTCTATAAGAAGCTCTGCTTGTAGTGATGTCAGTAATTGCTAGAGATTTCTTAAGATTGGAAATATCTGAGCTCTCGGCCTCTTGGTACATCTTAAGGCCTTTCCACACTGAGCGCGAAAAAACGAAACGAGTATCGGACGCGATGACACGCTGGAATAAAACAACAGATTTCTATGGATGCTTCCACATAGACCGCGAACATTCGGGCACCGAAAATGCGAATGTTTTTTTTCGAACCAGTCCGACGAATCTTTTCAGTTTCGCAAAGCAAAAACACGGGCCGTCCAATAAAATTTGAGCTAGGATCACTTGACCGGAGCAGCTGCTGTTGCACAAAAAAGCAAGAGTGGTGGCGCTGTTTCGAAAACCACTGTAAACAAACACAGAAGAAGAGTATCCCGGATAAGAGAAGAGAGTGGAAGCTGAGTTCTTGTTATCGTTGGTATTTGAGAACAGATTTATTCTCACATGTTCTTTATACAGAATAACATTTCTAATTATTCTCCACTGAATCATGTGATCTGGAGAGCACCGTCCGTTTTCTTCCGCGTGCGTGAGTGTTAGGAGTCAGAGCGTGTTCACTCTTTTTCTACACATGAAATATGAAAGCAAGTAGACATATGATTATGACGATATATTTTCTGTATGTGTTTTGTATGCAGCTCATGGTATTTTTATAGCAATAAAGGATGTTTATGACAAATATTAGCAGTGTTGCGTTATTAAACATACAAAGAGTGCATGTGTCTGCTTATTAATCAAAATCAACTATAGATCACAACTGGAAGTTATTACAAGCACTCGATGATAGTTTAAAGTGGGTAAGCAAATACTTTAATAATTACATACATTTTCAAGTGTAGCTTGATGCTAAATGTACTTCTAATTATATTTTAGTATGTAGCCTATTCTTGTAAGCATTATAGATAGTTTGTTTCTGGTGTAGAACCTTGTTTATCTTAATTTAATGCTGTATATTGAGCAGCAGATGATGTTAAATCCATTTACAAGATACATATCTGAGGAAAAATGCATTGTTGGTCGGCGCCACCTAGCGTGCACGCATAAATTAGCAGAAGGCGAACAATCGTTTTGCGTTCGGTGTGAAAGCACCATTCGTCGCGATTCGCATCGCGCTCAGTGTGGAAAGGCCTTTAGATGCTTTACAACTGCAGCTTGACTCGATGTCAAAGTGCACTTTGAGGACAATAGTGTCTGTTCAAACTACAGTTACTTTGTTTATGGTTAAGGGGTAAATATCAATTGTATTATGATGGTTAAGGTGGTAAATTCAATGTAAAAGCTCATGTAAATGTCTATTGTTGCAGACGGGGACACCAGTGCTACAGAAAGCGGGGATGAGGTTCCACTAGAGTTGTACACAGCGTTTCAGCACACCCCCACCAGCATCACACTCACAACAGCACGTCTCGGCAACAAACAGGCTGATAAGAAACGAAAGAAGAGTGGAGAAAAGGAGCCCCCGGCTACAGCCAGGGCCAAGAAGGTCTGAATCACAGAACAAACACTTCTAGTAAATGTAAACGGGACTTCAAAAATGAAAAAATTAATGACTTTAAAAAAAATCTTCTTTTTCTCACAGTAGATTTTGTGCAGAAAGTCCAAAGTAACAGTATTTATTTGAAGCAGAAATCTTTTGTTGCATTAGAAATGTCTTTACTGTCACTTTTGATCAATTTAATGCAGTCATGTGTTTTGTTTTGCTTTTTGTTGTCTATTTGAATATTGTTTATAAATGTCATGGAACCAAAATCAGTTATTTCACCTGCTTTGAAACATACAAGTCTGATTTCTGCTTGTTTTTGTCTTTCAGTCATTCCGTGAAGGCTCTAGAAAATCATCTAGAGTAAAGGTGGGTACTCTGGAGCTATCCAAATTTACCCCCCCAAATAACTATTCGTATGTGTGTTACGCATGCTTACGCTGCTTGTTTTCCATCTTCTATCCTCAGGGCTCAGCACCCGAGTGTGAGCCGACAGATCCTCCCTCTCTTTGGGAGAATAAGATGAAGTCGTGGATGGAGCGCTATGAGGAAGCCAGCAGTAACCAGTACAGTGAAGAAGTACGGATACTGCTAAGAGTAAAAGAAGCCAGAGATGGCAAAACGCTGGCCTACAATACACACACTGCAGCCTTCAAACCACCCGTAGAGGTATAATACTCACATATTCAAATTCCACCAGAATATTGGTCTGCATTTCTGGTGCGCTGTTTGTGGCTTTGTACAACATGCTCATTGTGACTTTTTCCTCCCAGAGTCACGTACAGAAGAACAAGCGCATTCTTAAGGCTGTTCGGGACTTGGCTGCCGATTCGCTCATAATCGAGTACAGGGGGAAGGTCATGCTACGACAGCAATTTGAAGCCAATGGTTACTTCTTTAAGAGGTACTTGAAAAGACACTTTGTGCTTTTGAGCATTAATTTTGGTTCCCCGTTTTTGTTTATAACGTTTTTATTCGCAGGCCGTACCCTTTTGTATTGTTCTACTCTAAGTTTGACGGTTTGGAAATGTGTGTGGACGCACGGAGCTTCGGAAACGAGGCCCGATTCATTCGTCGCTCCTGCACTCCCAACGCTGAGGTGCGGCACGTAATCGAGGACGGCATGCTGCATTTATACATTTACTCTCTGAGGTCCATGTCCAAGGGGAGTGAGATCACCATTGGCTTTGATTATGACTATGGCAGCTGGTAAGAACACGCACTAGGGCTGAGTATCACTGATGTAATGACATCTGAAATGTTTATTCTAGTGCTGTCAAACGATTAATCGCGATTAATCCCATCCAAAATAAAAGTTTTTGTTTACAGAATATGTGTGTGCTGTGTATATTTATTATGTATATATAAATACACACACATGCAGGTATATATTTAGAAAATATTTACATGTATATATTTATATTCATATAATTTATATTATATATAAATATTAGTGCTGCCAAACGATTAATCGCAATTAATCGAATCCAAAATAAAACTTTTTCTTTACATAATATATATGTTTGTGCTGTGTATATTTATTATGTATGTAAATACAAACACATGCATGTATATTTAAGAAAAAATTTATGTTTATATATTAAATATATTTATAAATAATATAATAATATAAATGTACATGTAAATATTTTCAAAATCTATTCTGTATGTGTGTGTATTTATATATACATAATAAATAAACAGTACACATACATATATTATCTAAACAAAAACTTTTTTTTTAAATGCGATTGATTGCGATTAATCGTTTGACAGCACTAATAAATATATTTAATATATAAACATATTTTTCTTAAATATATAGATATATGTGTGTGTATTTATATATACATAATAAATATACACAATACACACATTATGTAAACAAAAACTTATTTTGGATACGATTAATCGCGTTTATTGTTTATACAAGAACAGCTTGACTGTTCACACTTTTCTCACTACTTTTCCTGTTTCTTGTCTTTGATAGTAAATATAAGGTGGACTGTGCGTGTGTGAAAGGCAATCAGGAATGCCCTGTGCTCAAGCATAACTTGGAACCCACGGAGAATCTGGGCTCTAGCACACGACGGCGCGGCCGCAAGGACAAAGAACCATCGCAGGATGAGAGCGGACAGAACCAGAACCTCACGATGGACTGTGACGGGCCCACTGGCAAATCGCTCAATGACGCCAAACAGAGAAAACTCTCTCCTCTCCGGCTCTCCATATCTAACAATCAGGTATGATAGACACTAGGGCTGTGTATCACCAGCAAAGTCACGATATGATACGTATCACGATACAGAGGCCACGATACGTATCACGATACATGACTGCACTGAATTTCACCTCAGCAGAGTTTAGAAAAACAGCTGTTTATTAAACACTGCTTACTATAGTGCCATTTCTAACTACTGGCAGAGCAGGCAGTTGACCTCTGCATTATGAAGGGCCTCCATAACTGTACCACAGTACAATATAGGTAATGGCATATGTTTCATGTTTACATTGTGCACTCCCAACCAGGTACAATATTCTGATTGTTTGCATCTTGTTTTTAAGCCCATAAATAATAATGTACTCGTTCTAATAAATTTATATTGTAATGTACTCATTCTAATATATTTGTAAAAAATCATTTACATTGCTGGTACGTTATCATTGCACAAATCAACACACTCTCCATCGCACTTTTCTACTCAATTTTAAACGTCGTAAAATTTTAAATTAAAATTAAGCGCGGTCCACTGCTGCACACGTGTCACAATATCGATACAGGGCCAGCTGTATCGATACTCGTATCGTGAAATCTCTGTGACGATACATCGTCGTATCGATATTTTGAACACAGCACTAATAGACACACACACAGTGCTGTCACATACCCACTTAAGTACCATCTCATCTCACAAAATGAAAACACACCTGTCTTCATCCATGAAAGGTAGTTTAATGCTGATAAATAATTTAAGTAATGGTTTTACGAAAGCTATTGCAATGACTAACAGCGAAAATCTAGCTTTTTTAAATATTCGGGGTTGGCTGAGAGTCTGGGTAAGACGGTCCCTTCATCTATAAATGTCAAAAAACCCTTTGTTTGCATGTAAATATTATCCATGTGTATTAATCTGTGCATGATTCTTTCTTCGTTGGATATTTTCAGTCATTCTAATAATCTGTTTACTCATCCACATTTCCTTCCTGGCCCTGATTACAGCGTCTGATAACCAGAAAACATATTTCCGCATTATTTTGCTCATATGTTCCCGTATTTCATTGGTGGCCGGTGGCAGAATATTAAATCTTGCTTGTTTGGCGCGCTTTGAAAGTGTGCGAGAATCCATGCTCGTAACTCCCTGCCATCCTGGTGCCATATATATCAGGACATCCCAGGAAGAGTTGTCAGCAATTCTGGCACAGTTAGAACAGAGGAAATCCGCTCTGATCTTTTTAGTAGTTGCATTGATTGATTCTCATAAGTACAATCTGGTCTGTCTGACCCAAGATCTCAGCCCGAATCAACACTTCCCGCACTTTCTCTCCCTCTCTAATGCTCCTCTCCTGGTCTGTAGCCAGGCGATGATAAAGGCCCTCTCCCCCTCTTGCAGGATCCTGAGTTAATAGAGGATCTAGAAGAGAAAACCTCCGTTAGCAATGAAGTAGAGATGGAGTCAGAGGAGCAGATTGCAGAAAGGAGGAGGAAGATGGTAAGTGCGTCCAGGGGAAAACGACCACTTTGGCAATCACGGTCGCCATGGAAACGCTACTGCCCCCACCCCCCCGTCTTTTTCCCCTCCTCGTTCTGCCTCCCGGTGTGTGGTGATTTGGGCAGCTCCCAGAATGCTCCACCATTCCTTCCTTCCCCCTCCACCCCCTCTAAACCTCCCGCTAATTTCGCTGCTGCCGCCACAGCTTCTCTGTTCCTGTCGCTGTGTAGTTTAACCTCCTGAAGGGTAGCGCGAGGGCACTCATCCTTGTTGCTTTGTTTTTCTTTTTCATACTTCATCTTTTATGGAGCCTCTTTGGTTCTCCATGAGGGAATGTTAAGAACTGGACTGTGTGTTTCATCTGCAGTCATTTCTCTCCTCTGTCATGACTAAATGTCTAGACCATGTTAGTAGTGAGAGATCATGCTTAAATGAAAGAACCTACTATAGCACTACACAGTGTTTTAATTTACACGTTAATTAACATGGGACTCAATGTGGTGGTATTCTACTATATATATGGTCCTCTGTCTAAAAGCTATTTCCATTCTAAAGCACATTACGACATTCACGTCCAATCAGGCATCTATTCAACACCGCTTCCTACCAAAACTCAACAATCCTGAACAAAAACTGGGCTACTTTTTATATTCAAAATATGTTAGGGTGTAAATTACAAATTCAAACTCGGCTAATTAAAAAAGGTCATGTAAAGTTGCAATGATCCTCACATAGAATTGTTTTGAAAAACGAAACTTGATGATTTTAATCCTAGTAATGCTGTCTGGTTGTGATATAGCTTTGGCTATTGGTTACTTAGTAGCTTAAGATCAACCTTAGAGAGTATAGTAACTCTCTCACTTAAAATGTACATGTTTTATGTGAATGTTTTGGTGTGGCCATTACTGTGTGTGGTGCTTTTTTGTTTGCTTGCCATGAAAGGCAGATGGAAAAAATGTGTGAAAAACAGGTTCTGAACCCATTGCACTTCAAAAACTTTCCTCAACAAACATCATGAAGTTGGCAGTGACTGCTGGAATGTTCAGGAAAATAAAACTCACAACCAATCCTGAAATGACTTGCCTTTAACAATACAGAAAAAGCTAACAGCAGCTGTAAACAATGTGGTTTTATCTGGATAAATTAATAGTGAGGTATCAGACTCTGGTGTATTATTAGTGGAAATTCCCCATGCTTTCTCCTCATTTTCTCTGCTGCAACAAGACAAACAGGCAATTCAGAAACCGTTATGATTCCCTATCAATATTTGTTGAGTTCTCTAACACCCCTTTTCCACCATAATGGTACTGGTGCTTGGTCTGGGGATTTGAGAACCTCTCCTGGAACTGGCCCCCGTTTCACTGATTTAAGCTGATCAATGAAGTAAATGACAACGATACTTACTACATGCTCTTAAAAGTGCAGTGTGTAATATTTAGGAGGATCTATTGATAGAAATGCAATATAATATACACAACTATGTTTTCAGAGGTGTATAAAGACCTAACGTAATGAACCATTATGTTTTTATTACCTTAGAATGAGCAATTTCCGTCTACATACACCTTACATAGAAGTCAATATTTTGCGCCGCCATGTTTCTACAGTAGCCGTAAACGGACAATCTGCTCTACAGAGCGTGTTTCGTCACTATGTTGTTCTTGCGAATAAAACACTCGACTCGATGAACACGTAACAATAATATTTGGTTCACTGAATAATTAAGTAAATATAATTCCTTAATTTACCTCATTGCTTGACTGGCTACTTTCTGCTGTCTCAGACAACGACATCTTTGTCCTGTGTCGGCAACCGTAGCTTCTCTATGTTCTCTACCTCACCACTAGATGTCGCTAAAATTTAAACACTGCACCTTCAAACAAGCTTTTTTTTTTACAGATTTCTTTATTTACCAGTTTATATGCAATATTGTGTACTTTATCATTTTTGACAGTGAGATGGTAGTTTAAATAAAAAATCTTGCAGTTGTCGCAAACAATTAGAAAAAGCCTGAAATAATCATGAAAATGCTTTCGTCGAATATATCTGTAAATAAAACAATTTTATTTCAGATGGATGGGGAAAGTTTGTTTCAATAGCTCACCTCCCATATAGACCCGTCAGTTTAGTTAAGAACGTTATGTGGTGAAGAAATTATTGTTCCCCCTTTTTTTAGGCGTTTAGTGATTTCTGTTTTAAGACTGGAGCATTGTCAAGACCAGCACCTTTTCGGTGAAAGAGGGGTATGTCCATTAATCACATGGTATGCCCATACTGAAGCTCTAAACCCCAACCACACTACCCATACAGCAGGGACTAGGCTGATACATATGAGTGTGTGCATGGGGGTGTGAGCGAACTGGAGGCCCTTTGTGTGTTTAAACCCTGATGGCTGTCTCTTTCGGCACCATTCAGGGCAGCCCGGCAGAGGAGTCCCATCGTCACGGCGCAGGGGCTTCCTGCTGCAGAGCTCTGAGAAACAAGGAGGTAAACCTACGCCTTCATATCCTGAACGACCCCCAACCCACCCCCTGCCTGTTACTGTACAGGAGAACCCACACACTAACCCCACTGTCCTGTGCTCACTGACCCCATGCTGAGACTGAAGTCCAGGCATGCAACCCTCAGTCGCTCAACATGGCCCACCTCAAGACACCCTTGTGTGGTATTTGTTGCCTTTCTTTTTGGTAGGACAAGAGAGAGTACAGAAACTCTCACACACATATATGCCTTCTCTCATCCCTTGGAGGGCGGGGGTGGTGTATTAT